TGCGGTCGAAAGAGCGATAGAGAAAGACAGTGAGCAATCCGCCATACAGTCGATGTTTGCATTTTATATATACTTTTCTCGTTCGTTTTATTCATCATCAATACTTGTTGCGCTTTGAAATTCAACTGAGTGAATCAGTTATACGGTAACGTAGATCGCGTGAAGTCCGATTTTTTTTGTCGATACGTATATTTCTCTACGAGTTTCGTGTCAGAAACACAGAGAAAGAGAGTGAGCAAGAGCTCGCGCGCTTGTGTGTGGTGTATATGTGTTCCATTGGTGTGCGAATGAAATGCGAATATGCCGATGAGTAATTTACAATTACACTTCACACACTCTATCTCTTCAATCCTGTATCGATTGTGTTAGTGTAAATTCCACATAAATTTCATTTGTTTGATATGCTTTAAAAATAATATTCACCAATTAATAATTATTATTGTTTGGATTGTTGTTATTTAGCTTTTGTTACATTTTGTAATTGTTAGGTTTCTAATTATGAAAAAAAAAATTGCGATTGATGTGAAAAAATACGACAAGAAAACAATGTGAATTCCAATCATTTCTCATTTTGGTGAAATGAGTAGAAGAAGGCTCCTTTTCAAGGAGTGCTGTGTCTCCAAACATGGCGTCGATTTTTATGATCATACAGTGACAGTGTATTTTTTTTTCGTTAGAATTGCTTGATACGTGGTTTCGATCTATGTGAGAAAGCGAGTGGTGGCAAAAAATAGTGATTTTTGTCGTTTGTGCCGTTTTCTACGGCTATCCGGTTTCGCTTCGTATTGACTCGACTATTTTTTTTCATCTTCTTTCGTTTAGATGACGGCAATGTCGTGCGTATAGTATAGCCAAGGATTTATAATTGGAATCATTTATTTGGCTACTTGCAAGTCATTATGCTTAATGGTTCCTCTTTTTTGATAACGTATAAATTATAATACATTAAATCATTCAAATGTCGGTTGTCGGTTTGGTCAAAAATTAAAAACAAATATATCCTTAACAACTTTCGGCTATTACGAATAATACTCATTTTACCAAGGAAATCGAAAATCATTATATGACGACGACAAATGAATTTAAAAAAAAAACGTCTTCGGTATGGCGACACCCTTGAGTCATATTTTTTTACTCATTTATTGTCAAATAGTTTGAATATATTAACTAGTAATAGAGGTAGTTGATTGCACAAGTAGTGCCACTTTATTGGGTACATATTATAATCCTGTCTCTTTGAAGTAATAACATATTATCTACTTCTTTTTTTTCCCTCTTTCGCAGACATTTGTATATTTCACATACACCAAATTACGGTTAACATAAGATTTTTGAATTGTTAATTATAACAAAGCACATTGTTGGTGGCTTTTGCAAGTGTTCGAGTCGACGTTGTTGTCTGTACGGTGATAAAAATCCCATTTCTCTTTTAGTTGCTATTTACTGTTGAAATTGGGCATTTTTGGTGTTTCTTTTGTGTATTTCAGTCGCTGTGTGAGGAAGAATACACAAAAGATACAAAACAAAACGAGAAGAAAGAAAGGCAGACAGAAGAAATGAGAACGTATCGATAATGATAATGGCATACTTCAGCCTCACGTATATTCATTCATACTGAGATATTTACGAGTTGCCATCGAGTATAGTCACATTACAGTTGTGTGTGATTTTATAGAATCCCCCGGTCAATTGTAACAGTTCTTTTAATGTGTTGTTAATGTCGACCATCGTAAGACTCTTCTAAGGAACCAAAATGCATATTGTGTTACAAATAGAAAAAGGAAGAAGCAAACAAAAATTTGAATTTTCACAATTCACTTGGCACCATTGACTTTATATAGTCGCAACACGGGATGATGTGTTTAGTTTAAAACAGTTATTTGTTCAGCTTACATCGAGATTTGGATAATTAAACGATTTTTTTTTTGGTTTAAGTGTTTAATCTATGAAGAAGAGTAATTGTAGTGATTCATTTAATGCGTGAGCGTGCGTGAGTATATAATAATACTAAAAAAGTTTTTGTTTTTAAATCAAAGGATGAAGAGAAAAATATTTCGCCGATATAATACAGAACCATCATGAATATAAATATAAAGAGAAAAGAAGATTAAATTTAAGGCGCTTATGAGTGTGGTTTGGATCCATTTCCGTTAATGCTCCCATCGTTGTTCGCTTTGGGTTGGAATAAATTATATGAATAAAAAAAAGAAGAAAAAAAATGCAAGCAAGCTTGAACAACAATAATAAAAAAACACCAACGCGTTCACCAGACACAAACATTTACGAATCATATATAAAACCAATTGCATGCACTGCATAGGTTTTAAGTTGACCCAATTGCTAATAAAATGTATGCGTTTTTTGCATGCAACTTTTTTCTGTCTTCTTCTCTGTTTTCTATCTCTGTTTCATGCATTCGTGTGGTTGATGTGATTTTTCCTCCATTCCACGCTGGAGCACATTAAGAGAATCTCTCATTGTCTTTTATTCGCGAAAATCGCGTTCTCGTACGGCTCAGTTGCTTTGTGGGATTCAAAAAGTGCTGGAATAGTTTTTTTTCTGTTCATGTTCCGTGTGTCTGTATATGTATAAGCTGAAATTGCATTTGACTCTGTTATTTAATATCTATTTTGTGATGTACGGATTAATCATGTAAACGGTGAGCTAGAGAGCCAGCTCAATGTGATTGAATGAGATAGCAAACCATAGTTCGTACGTTTATTTGAAACATACATTAGAAATGCCATTACCGTTGTCTGTTTTCTCTCTCATTCTCTCAAATGCTACTCATTTTCTATTTCGATTTCATGCCGATTAGAGTACTTCGTTTGCAGCATACTATACATGCTTTGCACCAATATTGGTCGGTGCTTCGTTACAACAATATTTTCGATTCCATTCATACTCAGTCCTTCTCGTTTCTTCCCGTCGACTGGTGAATATTGCATTATTATATTGTGACGCGCGAGCACACAGTGTTGGTGTATTTGTGTTTCATTTGAAATTTAGGCTCGCTCTTTCAATTCGAATTCGCTTGTACCACTGAATGCGTCTGCTACCGATATACTGTATATTCGCATGGATATTTGAGCACACGGAGTTTCTATTTGTACTCATGCTGTGTTTTATGAATTGTGCAACTTTTTTTTTTCACTTCGTTTCGTTCCTAGATTCAAAACATTTTAAATATTAAAAATATTGTAAATTTATTGTATGATTCCCAAGGTGCTTCTGTGTGTCATTATTTTCACCTGAATCCTTCAATTGCGAACAATTAGTTCATTTATCATTACAATAGCTAGTTGATCGTTATATACAACAACAATCGACTTTTTATATTGGAAAGGCCTTCGCATAACAACCGATTGCTTTATGATTTTGTAATACACCCATCATCAGAAACAGTTCCTTTGCACGTTATTATTTTGCAATGTTACATTACATGTATATTTCATTTTCGAAACTCCTTCATGCTTTTCATGAATTTTTTTAGAGCATTTTGAATGGGCACACAGAAACATTGCCATAATATATGAAAAATATATATTTTACGCACCGGCCGACTATATTATGTATTTTTATTTATTGAAAAAATAAAAAAATAAAGTTACCGTATTTCACATGGGAATACAAAAGCGTCAATTCATAATTTTCCTTATGTAAAAGAATCACGATAAGACCGCGCATGTAATAAATTTGTTTTCAATTAAGTACATCGTTCGTTTGAGCATTTGCCAGTCACTTGTTTCATGCATAAATTGAAAGCAAAGTGCAGTCATTGCATGATTTGAAGTCAAGGATTTGAAGACATTGTGAATGGAGGCATTTATGAAATTTATAACATGTGTCGCATTTTATATCAGCTTCTTTCTACTGGCACAAATCTGTCCGAACACATATCCACTTGCTGGATTTTGATTGAATAGCAAAAAAAAACACATACACAATTCCCGTTCCGTTTTTCTCGTCAAAATGCATATGAAAATAAAAATGGCCCCTCATTCATATTGTGATTCATTATGAAATCAATTGTTGCGCATATGCATACATTTCTCTTGCTCTCTCTCTCTCTCTCTCTCTCTCTCTCTCTCTATATATATATATATATATATATGTGTGTGTATTGCCACATTGAAAGGCTCGTCAGCTTCGGAATTTCTCTCTTCGCGATGATTACTGTTGTTGTAATTGCAAGCGTTCCACTTTGTTGCTCACGAACCCATGATAATAATAGCTTCTCTATTTACCGAATCGAATCAGAAATAGTTACAATTGAAAAAAGTCTCCCCGATTAGTCGCGCTATGTTTCAATGTTGAAATGAATATGAACAAATCAAATGACTCCATTTGATGACGTGGTATGTGTATTGTTTGAACGTTTTGTGCTCGTCCATGTCCGCTTCGGTGATCGTGTATATTTGTGCACACTGTACTATAATTTTATATATTGTATATTACATGTTGATTCCGTGCATGCGCAGAACACAACAAGTTTCTCTGCGAATGAAAACACGAACCAATAATTCGCTATTGTTACATACAATGAAAATAGGATAAAAAAATTCATTGTGGTAAATGTTTTCAAATGGAGAAAATAGACAAATAGGCGCTAACAGGCTCTCAGTCAATTGGTCGCTCGTATCGAAAGGAGTGTTAGTAGCATTATTTGATGGTGATCAAACCGTCTAGTCTACATCGAATACTCGTTATATATGACATTGGGTGTTTAACGAAGGGGCGTTTTTCCATGTTATCTCAATGGTGTTTGTAATTGTTTTTTTTTTATTATTTGTATATCGAATATGGGAAGAAGGACAAAGGAACCTTTGGTTATTATAAGCTTTAATTAGATTTAAAATGCCTCTTCAGTGAACTACTCTTACAACATTCGCTCATTTTTACCAAACGTGTCGAACAGTATACTTACTTCTGAACAATTTATTTTTTATTAAAAAATTTCATAAACTAAACTTATTTCCTCTTTTTCTTTTATGTTACAGTGCAATTTGAATAGTGGAATACCGAATTTCAAAAAAAAAAAAAAAAAAAACAAAGTAACCTGCAAAATCACGAAAAGAAAGACATAATATTTTTTGAATAGAAAGTAAAGTGAAGTTATAACAAATAAGGAACTTGAAATTTTTGGTTTTGAAAGAATCGCAATTTTTATCAAACAACCAAATACACACAAAAATGGCATCACAACGATTTTGCTTACGGTGGAACAACCATCAAACCAACTTATTATCAGTATTCGATCAACTATTACACGCTGAAACATTCACTGATGTTACTCTGGCGGTTGAAGGACAGTATTTAAAAGCACACAAGGTATGTAATAAACCAAGTCTATGCTGTTACCGTACGAGTTTTTTTATCGATTTTTCTATATATTTATTACTGGTGTTTGGATAATAAATTCCAACATTCAATGTTTAATGTTCCGTTGCATCGTCAGTGAGTAAAATATCGTCAATTCCGTTTATTGCTACGGAAATGGATTTTATTTCGTTTGTTTGTGTGTTTAAAATAAACATGAAACAATGTTGCGCTAGTATTTTTGAAATGATAATTACATCACAATTGTTTAAATAAAACAGGCACTGAATTATTTGCCATTTAATTTAATTGTTAACGTTAGCTAAACAGTTCACTAAATTCAACCATCCTCAGAAACATTTTCACATTTTGTCAAGGCTTAGTATTTTTGTAAACGACAAAAACTAGCGACTGCTTTTTTCTGTTGACTGGACAAAATTCAATATAAAATATGAAATGACAATCGAAAAAAAATGTACAATAACCAAAATGCATTTTCCATTGCAATGAACCATTTTGACTCTGCTAATGAAGTCGTCAGCAATATTAGGTATGGAAAAATAAAAACAAGTCTGTTACAAGGATGGATTTGACGACAATACAAATTAACAAAAATGTGAAAGTCAAACCAAATTTAAGCAGAAACCTAACTTGGAAACAAAATACATTTTGAAATCAAAATCCCTTCAATTGTCACACATTTCGAAAATAATCACAACACACTATTTGATTTCGTTTATTGGTTTGAGCGTCGAAGATCGTTTTGCGTCAAACTAATAAACATATATTTATTCATACTTGTTGGTCAATTTCAACTATTCACCCATTTTCAAAAATTGTTAATGGATGTTTAAGTGCGTGTGCGTCACTACATGAAAATATGGTTTTTGAATGTGCATATGCTAATGATAGTAAGAGTTTTTTTCAATAAATGTCTCGGCTCATTACCACTATGGCGACAGTACTCAATGAAAGCCATCAATTTACACACACATATTCACAAACTATTGAAGTTTGTACGTGATCGTCATCGTCGCCAGCGTTGAACGACATAAATCTATTTGTACGCAGTCCATAAATAACATAAAGATTACTCCAAAGAATGAATGGAAAATTTATGTGCATTTTTTAAGGAAAAAAGGAATATATTCAGTGTTTTGAGACGATCATAAAGTGATAACAAAATTATGAACTCTAAGGATTCTATAACAAACAAAATCTTTGTCGTTAAATATATTTAAAAAAAAATCGGTCTTATTCCAAATGAACATTATTTTTACTTCATTATCTTGTTCAATGAGCACATTTTTGACGTTTTTATCAACCCCGCTAACCAATCTATTTTCAAATCCATTTACACCCCTTTTCCTATCGAAGTTCATCGGTTATCTAATCGCAATATGAAAACTACAAATCAAATCGAATGAATGAATGCCATTTATTGTATGTTATCTTCAACGAGCATAATAAATGAAGCGATAAGAAAATATTTATTGATTTTTCATTTCACTTTGGGCACTACAGAATAGGATTTTTTTTCCTTTTTTCATTCTTTGAACTGAGTTCTTTTCACCAAAATAACAAATCACAACATTTTTATTTATGTATATTTGTTTTTTATTTTGATTTAAAATAGATGGTATTATCCGCTTGTAGTCCATATTTCCAAGCGTTATTCATCAATCATCCAGAAAAACATCCGATTGTCATATTGAAAGACATAACGTTTGCCGATATGAAAAGTTTACTTGATTTTATGTATCGTGGTGAGGTATCCGTAGACCAAGATAGACTAACGGCATTTTTACGCGTAGCTGAAAGTTTACGGATCAAAGGTCTGACTGAGGTAAACGATGATAAACCGGAAAAGTCAGAAACGCCCGCCCCGCAAACACAATCATCGCAAACGTCAACTCAACCACCACAATTGAATCGCATTCAACAACCATACACACAACATCAAAAAGTGCAAGGGATGATGCTTACCAATCCATTATTGGGCTCAGCCCTCACGCAGCCAAAACGGAAGCGTGGTCGGCCACGAAAACTATCCGGCAGTTCGAACGGAAACGACTTTGATGATTATGAATCCAGCGACAATATCATTCAGGTAAATGTCATAACATTTCGCTTTATCTTTTATTCCCTTTAACTCGCAATGGGTGTGTTTTTGTGTGTTATGCTGCGGTGAGCAGCACTATTTTACGGTTCTTTTTTTTTTGTTTGCCATCAAATTAAATTATGGTTTTTATTTATTTTTATTCAGGGTTCGCCTGAATTACTCGAGGTTAAAATGGGCACAGACGGCTATTCAGATGGCTCAGACGACAATAACAGAGACATTTGCAATGATAATTCCGTAGAAGTAAGTAGTTATTTATTTCAATTTCTAATTTTTCACAAAGAAAAAAAATCCTGAAAGCTATCACATCTGTTCATAAGAAAAAGCGAATCAAAACATTTTCAACAAAATTATACTAATTGCATTTTTTGTGGTGTATTAAAGGAACCCATGGACACAACCGAATCAATGAAATCAGACACTCCACAACCATCAGCGAAAGAATCAAGCCCACAAAAAGAACAAGCTGACAACAATATTGCAGGTATGTGCCAATTTGAATGCAATAGTTTCACTTTCACACAAACACATTTTTTTAAATTTTGAGTGCACAGTGCAATATAAGAAATTCATTGACATCACCTAACCAAATGCATTTGAGTATGTTTTCGATTGTGTTTGAATAATTAATAACCACCGCAAATATATTTTTTTACTGAAATTCATGAAACCGACGCAGAAAAAATCATTTAATGGAATATTTTGACGAACGAAAGAAAAAAATCAACAACTAACACAATCGAAGGCATATTTTTTGCTCTAACTAAGTTCAATTGACATATAAAAATTCGAATGATAGGTTCTAAGCATAAATTAAATTAGTAGAGATCATGATGAAAAAAATATCGGAAAAGCAAATGGGATTTTTAAAGCAATGTGTTGAATCAATTGCATATTGAATGTACTCCTTTGAATCAATGAAATTTGATTCGTTAGTTTTTAATGACTGTAACTCTCGACATCGTCATACTGATACATTGATTGTGAATGATAATGTATATTCACATTTTACAATTGTTTTTAGTTTTTTTGTGTTTTGAAATAAAATTCATAAGAAATTTAAACGTCAAAAGAGAAAAAAAAAACAAGAAAATAGAATAGAATTGAAATTTTGCGTCGGCTGCCCACAAAAGGTGAGTCTCTGCAAGAGAAGATTGCATATCATATTTTTCTACTTGAACTTAAATTTGATATGACAAGAACATAAAACGAAGAAATCGCGTTGATCGTATTCGATGTAGGGAATGCATTCGTAGGGATTTTTGGCCGACGTTGAATTTTAATCTCCATCACATGAAATTGATCGATACACAAATCAATCAAACTAAAACCGAAAAAATCATGACAAAGGCTTTAAATCCCTATGGCTTTTCCTTTATTTTTTTTTGGTACGCGATCACACAAAACATAAAAAAAAACGTAAGAGAAATCGCATCAACAAACAAGTAAACCAAAAAAAGAAAACAATCACAATACGTGGGCAAGGTACAAATTCAAAAATTCAATTTTACTCTATTTTTCTTGTAGACGATGCGTCCAATGCATCCGAAGTGCAGGACATGACTTACATGGAACCACAACTAATGCTTGACGAATATGACGATCCCGTTGAATTTAAGTATAATCCCGATTCGGATTCGGCACCAAGTTCAATGTCCACCACACAGGATTCAACAACAACGACTGTGACCAATGTCGTTCCGCCAATGATTCAAATGCCAAAATTGGCACCAATTCAACATATGCTACCAAACAAACCGCTACCAAAGCTAACAAGACGTCCAAAATTGAAGCAAAACGGTATTAAAACACCAGAACAAACATCAACAACCATTCAAGCCACCATAGGTGCACTTCAACTGAACCCATTTGCCGGAATCAATAACAATGACTTTATTGACATATTGGCCAATAATTTTACGGCAAACGCAATCAAAGCGAGCTCAACGCCGCTAAAAGGTGTTAAAAGTAGTGAACGTAATGCAAAAAATAACAATGGTACCCATACAAGCAACAATATGGCCAATGTAACGACAACCACCAATGCATCACCAACACTCGGTGAAAATAATAATTTGAAAATTGAACGACAAAACGCAGGCAATCGATCCGGAAAGTACATTATTGACGATTCGCAAGGTTCAGTTCGAGACTTTTGTACCAAAGAAGGTGATCACACTTATCGATGCAAGGTGTGCTCACGCGTTTATACCCACATCAGTAATTTCTGTCGTCATTATGTCACCTCTCATAAGCGAAACGTTAAGGTATATCCATGCCCATACTGTTTCAAGGAATTTACGCGCAAGGATAATATGACGGCTCACGTTAAAATCATCCATAAGATCGAATCATCGGCAGCTGCTGCAACCGTCAATAAACTCGATACAACGGCTCAAATTGCCATTTCGGCAACGCCACAATAAACGCTAAATTTTATGTATGAGATGATATGAAATATATGGAAATAGAGACAATTACGACGAACTTACTGATGATGTTGTTGATGACGGGTAAACACGATAAGTCTCGTGTTTTATTTTTTAATTATTATCTATTTTCACTATATGTGTCTATATCAACACATATAGAAAATGTTCATGATGTGTATAGACCGAGAAAAAGCACGTTATATATATTTAAGAAATATGACATCAATCGTGTCAATATTTGTATGTCAATCACATGCAAATAAATACACTGAAATGAGTTCGAATCGTTTATTCACGAAAAAAATAATAATAATAAAAAAGACAAAATTTGTATTAATACGTACGAGGCGATATTTGTACATACTTTTATCATTCTATCTTATTCTGTTTTATACATTAGAACGTACAACAAAAAAGCCACCCTAAAATTGTAATTATTATTCAATTGTATGTTTCGCAGACATTCAAACTGAATAAAATTAAAACAAATCGAAGATTCTTCCATGGTTATAGTTTAGTGATCAAACGGATTGACGATGATGAACACATCATTTCCATTCGATTAGTTGTTAAACAATTCGTTTTCGATTCGAATTGTGCAATCTAATTTCTAACTTATAAATATAACTTATTTCTATTTAGCAACAACTTAATCGTTAAGTTTCATTTTCCAATTCAATTTTTGTTTATCTCTATCGCGACTTTTTCTTATCCTTTTTCATTCATTCTATAAACTTTATCAGTTTGATTCTTCTGTTCCTATGAAGGGAAGTTAAACTGAAGCGTATTGGATACAAAGGCAATTCCAAAATAAATTTGAACTAATAAATTTTAATTTTTAGACATAATTTTTTTAGTAAAAAGAGATATGAAAAACATGCATTTGAATACGCAATCGATCATTCCTTAAAACTTAGTTGGCAATAATAAGTATTTTTTTTCTCTTCTCATAAAAGGAACCTCGTTTGTAACAAATAATTAAAAAGGACATTTTTTGAATTGAGTGGTTTCTTTTTAAATCCAGAAATTCCAATCTTAAATAGCAATTTATAATATTTTTTATTTTAAAATTATTACCTGTTTTCGAGACTTATTTTATAGAACTAAAAAAAATATGACCTGGAAACCTAATTTGTATTATATATCAAAACAAAAAAATACAATATGATTATGATTCTTAAATGCAAAGTCTGAATGAAATTAAAAAAAAAAAATAATTAAAAAACGTTCATCAATCGGGACATTATAGCAAAATATTATGGTAGACACATAAGAAATGAGCAAAACAATGCAATTTTTATGTTTTTTTTTCGTCAATATTTTTTCTCTGCTTTTTTTTAAAGAAATTTTTAATTTAAATTATTTATTTGTCTTTTGTGAATTTTAACGTATACAGACAACCAAATGAAAATCAGAAAATGATTTAGAACGTTGCAATATTTTTCTCACACACTCTCATTTTATTATAATATATTATCATAAATATGTATGGAAAACAATAACAAAAGACTAGAAAAGAAGATTTGAAAGTATACATTCAACAAAAGGCTATTTCGTTTGTATATATAGTTTTGTTCAGAAAGAGAAAGAGAGAGTTATTAATAGAATGGTACAAAGGTCAAAAATATGCAAGAAATGTTTACCATTTTCGATGCAAAAACCTTATCAAATCCAATAGACTTATTTTACTTTGAAACTCGTGTTTTTGATTCATTCTTTATTTAATTTCTTTCTTTTAAAAGTATCAAACCATTTTCTCCTAATTTTTTTCTTCTTTTATGAAATGCATTCACATAATAGTGCACAAGGGAATATTGTGCACTTAATGAGCTGGATCAATTAAATGGTGTTATATTATTACATTTATACATAAATCAAAGTGAACATTGACGCAAGGTTAAAGTTAATTTAATTTTGAACTAAAAAGAAATTAGACAATTAGGCAGTAATGTATACTTAGTTGAAATGTATTTTATTCATAGCTCAATGCACACAAGCACCCTTTCGTTGAAAAAAGACAGCAGCAGAGAAAACTTTTCAGTAGTTTAATTTTAAAAATAATAGGTTATTATAGACACCAATACACACAAACATATTTTAATTCCGAGGTGTATTTCAGTTTGACTATTGTAGTGCTTTTGGAATGAGACAATTTTCATTTTTGGGCTTATTTACATAATTTATTTTTCTTTTGTTATTCGCTGCGAACATGCAAAACAAAAACACACCTCTCTTTTAATTTATAAAACAATGATTTAGTTAGTTTTATAAAGATTAGTGCAATTTTATTTTCAAACAATTTATTTCATTTTATTTTTATTATTATTACTATTATTATTTTTCCTCATAACCTGCTACTTTTAAAAAAATTTATTCACACATCCCAAATATCAGCTGCAAATAATAGAGTAGGAAGGAATTTTTTTTAAAATACCGTTACCGCTGAAATGAGAATCAAAATAATGGAAAACAAAAAAATATAGAAGAACAAATACGCACATCGTGTCGCATCGAATGTTGTACATGTAAAATTATTACGAAAAAATATCATGAGAATAATCATAATTTAAAAAGAAAATATCATTAACAGAGCAAAACTAATATATTTTTCAATATAGAACATTTTTTAGAATTTAGTAAAATTTATTTAATTTATTTGCAATTGTTATGTTTTTCCCTTATGTTTTAGATTTTCTTGTGTATTCAAGGCCCATTTTTTATTTCTTCTATTCATTTAACTTTTTGTTTGATTTTGACACTTCGTGCGTAGAAAGATCTCTTTCAACCAGTGATGATTTTTTGCTGTCTGAATAGCGCTAGATATTCGCAGAGTCTGTACAGCATTTCTGCCTAGATGCTGATTCGATGCGTTCACCCCATACCGCATGCGGAACACACTTTTTTGTACCACACACAGCGACGTGCGGTGAACGCATCGAATCAGCATCTGGGCAGCAATGCTGTACAGACTCTGCGAATATCTAGCGCTATTCAGACAGCAAAAAATCATCACTGCTTTCAACCCAAACACACCGAAGCAAATTACGATTTCAATTAAAACATGAAAACAACAAAAAAGTTTGATTTTACACGTAAATTATGCCACATATTTCAAATCTCCATAAAAAAAAGTTAATCGATTTTTCTTTTGCTTTTATCATTTCTTAATTCATATAATGAATTTAGTTTAGTTTATTTTAAGACGTTGTATGTCAATTATATGTGATCTAATGAAAAATAGAAGCACAATCTCTTGACATACACAATCGAGAATCGATACATATCCCGTTGTAGAAATGCGATAAAAAATAATTGATGAGCGAAAAAATAGAAAAATAGAGAGAGAGAGAGAGAGAGAGAGAGAGAGAGAGAGAGAGAGAGAGAGAATATAAGCCGCACCTTCAACGCACAAAAATCATGCACATAATTAAACAAAAAATAAATAGTAATAATTTCATTACAAACACAAACGATAATTTACACAAACACATATAAAAAAGTAAATGAACGCACATAAAACACAACAATTCCGCACCCATCGTACGTAAGCATCAAACATTTCAAAAATGAACGTTTAGAAACTAAAATAAAAATTATGTCAACATTTCTATTAATTTTTAGGCAATTTCTGACATTTTCTTTAAGAAATAAAGACAAATTATTTTTTGATTTAATAAAATTCATTATTTCCAAAATGCTATTAAATTTGAATTATAACATATTTTCGCAAGAAAAAGAACAAGAAAAAAAGAATGGAAAATAAAAACGCAAATCAAACTAAAATCGAACAGTAGAAGAAATGGAAACATTTTTTTTTATTTGCAACACATATACAATATTATGAATATGAAAATATATTTTTTGTTATTGGTTTAATCAAATTTATTATCATTTTTATTGACAAATGAAATTATTGTATTTCGTATTTATTTATAAAAATGCACAACCTTTATTCAAACTAATATGCATTCAAAATATATACAGCTACAAGTAATAAATATGCATTGGAATTTTATTTTATTTTTTTAAATCGCCAGCCCCAATTTGATTCTCTTACATTGATTTCCCCAATTACTTTGAAAATCCTTAGGTTTTTGCTTTTCTATTATTTTTCAACGTCATTGTTGTTTGTAAAACATTGTTTTGATTTGTTGTATTGAGCTTCTTTTGCTAAATTTCAATTAACAAATTTAATCGTTTTTTTTCATTATTTTTTTTCACGCACAGATGAACTAATGGATCAAATGACATCAAGACAATCGAATCAGCAAAAACAATATGTGCTAGTCGCAAGCAATAATCAAAGTCAGTCGGATGGCGAACAACGCCCACCAACCATGAAAATTCGAATAAATCCGTTAACACAACGACCGTCTACCTCAAATTTGGCGAATGCATTGCAACAATTGCAGAACGATTCAATCAATAATAATCAGATGACAAACGATTTGGCAAGTAATTTGGCGAATACAATTCAGGCAAATTTTATGTCAACTCAAATGGCTGTCGCGGCGGCCGTCGAACAACAACAGCAACAATTGCAAAAGAAAACGGTTGAAACAATTGCAAAAAATGATACAATGCAAAATGAATCAAGATCGGTGCAACAATCATCAGCAACATCACGGCAACCACAGCGTCGACGCTGTCGAAGAAAAGGAAGCAATCAGGATGATCAAGCCGAACATTTGACGGAAATGTCAGTTCGTGGTTTAAATCTATTCAGATATGCAAAAATATTCGAAGGCATTTACCAGTGCACGGAATGTGCAAAGGAAAATATACAAAAAACATTTAAAAATAAATATAGTTTTCAGCGGCACGCATTTTTGTATCATGAGGGCACATCCCGTAAAGTATTCCCATGCCCGGTATGCAGTAAAGAATTCTCACGACCCGATAAAATGAAAAATCACATGAAAATGACACACGACTGTTACATGCCAAAAGATTCAGTTGTTCCAAAACCGGCACAATCAGCCACGAATCAGCAAAAGGAAGCTGAACAAAAGCCCGATTCAAATGATACTCAAAGCGGAAAGCAAACAGCCGCAGCGATACGCATCGAAAATGTAATGTCGCAATATAATGCACAAATTACAGATGCCGCGCAACACATTAAAATTGAAGTATCAGACTGAGATGCGATTTTCAAGAAGAAGAACTTAGTTGAAGAACAAAATTAACTGTATGAAGGCAAAATCGATTTTTTTTTTAATTTGGAATTAGAGTTTAGATCAATTTTAGACAATAACCTCTTCATCAAGTCACACCTTATTATCATTGGAACGGGTTACGACACGTCAAAATTGTTTACAATTATTTTGCAACTTGAACAATTACTTATTGGACTGATAAATCATAGAATTTTTTTCGTCTCGAAATAACCAAATTCATACAGATACAGAAAACGAAATGAACAAAAAAGTACTATTTGATCGCAATTATTTTTAGTATAAAATATCTTTAGCAATAATATTTTTGAAACAAGAAAATTGGTTTTCGACGTACACTTTTGAAACAAGCATGAAATTGTTTTGATTTTTTCGGAATCAAATGAGATCTGATATAAAGCACAAAAAAAAAGAATTTAAAAACGATTACGCACAATTTTGAAAAATTTGAAATTTTTCTAAACAAAAAAAACATACTATAACTTGACTGGAATATGTATCGAGAAACCAAATAAAATTATATGTATAACATGGTGAATCACATGCTAAATGAACTACTGTTGTTTAACCAGATTTCGCAGACCATTTTTGAAAAACGATAAAACCATGTTATAGCACAATTAGTTATTAAGAGAACAAGTGCCTTAAAAATCCGTTAATGGAATCAATCAATATCTGCCTTACATTTTTTTAAATTCACATTAGTCTTATTGATATATTTTTGTCTCTTTTTTGTAAAAATGGCTTTAATACAACTGCTGAACGCACACAATTTTTTTAATGTTTGTGATCTAAAAAAATCTGTTTTGTTTATTAATCAATATTTGTAACTCTTTTGAAATTTTGCACAAAATAAATTGTTTAGGAAAGAATATCCAATGTTTGGCAACGTAACTTACAATAATGTTTTTTTTGTGTTTTTGTGTAATTTTTGATGAACAACATTTTACATCTTATATAATTTAGAAATAAAAAATTAGATTTGTACTATTTTTGTTCCTGCTCCATAATTTTTCAGTAACATTATTTCTAAAATATTTTGCAAACACACATACATATATTAAACGAAACAATTTATGTAATAATTCACTAAGATTGATTTAATTCATTTTGTTTCGTGTAAAATTTATTATATTTTCCTATCAATAAATAAAATAGCATTGGCTTGTGTTTATCCGATTTATAAATCCAACAACATACGGATGAAAATATGTTGTAGAATTATATAAAAAAAACATCTCATAAAGTGATGATTAAAAAAAACTCATTAGACAAATCAAATCAGCAGCCGTGTTGAGCAATTCATGAAACACACACAAATAATATTAGTTATTTTTCTAGAATATAAGTAATCAGAATGGCAATACAAACTCATTTTTAGCGTAGCCTTAAGCTCATTCACTGTAGACGATTTTAGGGTTTTTCCTTGTGTTTTTTATCAAATAAAATTCAAATGGATAACTTCATTTGTAAGACTAACTATCATTAAACAATTTCAAAAAAAAAAAAAAAAAAAACAAACAGAAACTATAATAAAATGAATGAAGAATTTCAGTGTTTTTCATAAACAAAATATTTTATTTTTATTCATTTAGTAGCATATGTATGGGTTCAACAATAAGTTCGTTTGATTTCATAATCAGGAAGGTCTTAGTCCTCTGATTAACCTTTTATACAAACTATATGTATTATTACTGTCCTGCTTGATTTTATCAAGCGGGGTTGACGTATATGAGATTGGGAACTTTTTTATGCGAACGCAGCTGATCAGCGCCATCTCACATTAGTTCGAATTAGATCGAAAAACTGAATTTAATTCTGTAGCATTGAAATGAAAAAGAGAAAAAAACAATAACAATAGCACGGCCACACAGAGCTGTACATCTATGCGTGCTGATGCATACATACACATATACGCTTTCTTCATTCTTTCATTTTATTGTTATACGTATCTCACTGGTCAACAGATCTATGTAGCCATGTTACTGTTGTTGTTTTTTTCTCTTTTTCGATTCAATTCATTGTAACTAAATTGAGTTCAACTATGGAATACAAGATGGCACAGATGAGGGGAATTCGCATTTTGTCTCTTCATAGGCTTAGCCGGTTGGATTTTATTTATGTTTTCAACGTATAATAATCTGATTATCTAAGCAATCAATGATTTTATCTAGAATATTATGAAATATAAAATGAAAATGTTTATAAATTTTTAATTTTACAGCGATCTTCTTTCGCTCGATTTGATTTTTATTTTAATTTTTTAGTGGATCGATTATAAAACCTCTATGGCATTGTCGGACTAATGGCTTTGTATTAGCTTTGTATAAATTTCCTTAGCGAAATTTTTTATGCTAATGGAATCAAATCGCTTCGTTTTGGAACCAACGTGAATTTTTCGTAATGATAGTTTTCTTCTGGTCCCATGTATCCGTGCTCGTTTTTCAAATGTTTGATAATGTTGTTGCGCCAAATTTGAAGATAGTTACAGTCCTTGCACATAAAACCTTGGAGAAAATCACGAAAAAGAAGAAATAGAAAAAGTAATAATGCGATCAACCAATACAATTTTAATTTAATATAGTACCCTTTGATGCGTGGTTGTCGTTCAATCGGAATATGTTTAACGGTTCACCGCTACACTTTTTACTGTGTTCACCTTTGATTTTCACCATATTGTTGCATTTACTGATAAGAATGTTTAATATATGTTATGAAATTGATTAATCGATTGATTGTGTAACTTTGTAACCTGCATGCAAACATATGTTCGCCAGTATGGGTGGTAATGTGGGTTTCCCAGTGAGATTTTGCAAAACTTTTGTCTTCTTCACAAAATACACATTTGCCCAGGATTTTGCGATTGATCAATGTGTGCTTCATTGGTTGCAATCGTAGCTTTTTTGCTATTGCAGGTGATGGACGAGAGATGGGAATTTCCAAATTTGGATGTTCTTGCACATAGTGTTGCACCAGACTTCGTTTACCTGGGAATGAATCACATAGAAAAGAATGTAAGTAATGGAAACTAATAAACAAAACATGGAAATAATGGGAAAATAATCGAAAGAATGAAATGGATAGCAATGGATTTTCACTTCGCTTACACTTTTTGTCGCAGAAGATGCAAAGTTCATGGAACATTTTGTTCATAGCATACATTTGAGAATTGGTGTTTGAGGTGTTACGCCGTTCATTATCGAATTCCTCAACTTTGATCCGTGGAATGCAAATTGTTTTGCGTATGGCCGATTGACGCTTTTTCATTGCTTTGGCCAATTTCATTTTTGTTTCATAGTCAGCCTTGGCTACCTGCTTAAAATTTCGTGACAAACTGTACATTTCATCGTCATCTTCGTGCTTATTTGAACGCCGTTCAATGCAAATTGTTTTACGAGTGGCCGATTTACGCTTTTCCATTGCTTTGGCCAATTTTGGATTTGATTCATAGTCAGCATGTTTAAAATTTCGTGACAAACTGTACATTTCATCGTCATCATCGTGCTCATTTGACCGCCGTTCAAAGCAAATTGTTTTGCGAGTAGCCGATTTACGCTTTTCCATTGCTTTGGCCAACTTTGTTTTGGTTTCGTTGCCAGATTGGGTTTTCACTTTTGGTTCCATTGTATAGTCCATCGAGGAACTTATGGCTATAGTGAATTTTACGAGAATAAACATTTGCGATAAAATTGATTTTAAATGTGAGACTTTCTTACCATGAGACATTATACGGTAATCCATGCTACGACGTCTTTGTTTATTGAAAATTTCTAATTGAGACTTATGATTTGATTCTCTCATTGGTTGATTGCGAGCATATGTATGTTCCACATTTTCTTGTGTTGTTGTGACAAATTCTTCGGCTTGAACATCAAAATCAGCTATATTGTTGGTGAGCTCTGGAATTGTTGAATTTAATGTAACAACTGAATTTGCCGGCTTTCCTTCCAAATGCTCGATCGCATGCAATAAGAGATAATAGCTCTCATTATGGTCCACAATTAAATTATCATCTGATTCTACGTTCTCGTTAGCGCTTTGTACATTCAAATCCACAGTGCTGTCACTCAAATGCAATTCCTGTACTTGCAGGGAACCGTTTGGTTTTTCGTCGACCATTTGTGAATTTGATTCACAAACCATTTTAGTTATATTCGCTGTTTTTTCATTGGGTGTAATTTTGTGGTCAATAGTACCATTTAAAGTTGATGTCATTTGAACGTTATTCTCGTGAATTGATTTCGTTGAATCGACCCGATTTTCCGATGGTTTGATTCCCATGTCATTCATGACATGTTGCTGTCGAAATTCCTCAGATATTACAGCAAATAACCTTGAATCTTTTAAATGTAATTCGGTTAAGAGCTCTTTCTCGCAGTTTTGTAATGATTTTAGACACCTGGAAATTTATTTATTCACACAAAATCAAAATTAGCAAATCACTATGATAGAACCATCATGAAAAAACTACACGCACCCCAAAATTTCATTCATTGCATCGGGCTCAATAGATTCAGGTGCTTTTTGGACTTTCCATAAGGAGTGCAATAGATTGCCACACGTTGCCTTTATGGATGTCAAAGTCTCCAACATTTTACTGTGAATTTAAAAAGATTTTTATTTGTTTTTGAAATACAACACGAGTAATTTTAACTAACTTCTAAATAGAACAACAATCTTATACAAAATCTGACGTAACTGCGTACAATATTTGAAATAAAATAAACAAATGCATTTTTTCTCATCCACAATTTAGAATAGTTTCATACCAAATATTTTTTTTTGTTATTCATCGGTGACATACAGATACAAATACACTTTAAATGAAATTACTGTACACAAGCATGCTATGTTCACACTGCAAACGTTGCAGCGACCACTTTTGATTTTGGCCATAAAACAAATGACACTCCAGAATGTACGATATATGTTTGTTATAGGAGTGAAAGAGCGAAAATAAACGTTTGAATTAAGAACGTAGTTCGTTTGTTTGCCTAATGTTTTTTTTAATGTTATTTTTGGAATGAACCGAATTCAAACCACGCCATGTTTCTTAGAAATGGTCATTTGTCGATTCACAGAATTTTCATAGATATTGAAATGCACAAATTTTGATCAAATTTAAACTGGACAATAATTGCAAAAATGACGGAAATTTTTTTTTTTTCTACTTACCCAAACTATGTTTTTAGTTGTTTTCGTCGTCGTCGTCTTTATCGTTATTAACAAAAACACACTGAAAAAATAAGCACGTCTTACAAATTCCGATGTCAAACTCAAAGTGAACAAATCCGTTTTGTAAATCGTGTGGCCACAACGTTTGAGATTTCTTCCCTGTGAACCGTTGTACAATGCTGTGTGTGAGACGCACACTTATTTGTTTCGCAATGTCGCTATATCGTTACATGCTGCTCTGACTCACACATTAACATAAAATAAACACAGGATAAACACAAATCGGAATGCCTTATAGCAGGCGACGAATATGATGACCGATCACAAAATAATGCTTTTACATACATTAAAGTATTCAAGAATGAAAGAGATAGAGAAGAAACATTTCAAGCGATGTTGAACCAATAAAACGACTTCAAATGAAAATGTGTATACACAAAATAAACACCACAGCAAAAAAAGACGTCACTCTCACAGTTCTTGTCAAATTCAATTTATTAAACATTTTTAATTACAATATTTGCTGTTCCAGTAAAAATTGGCAAACCCTTTTGTCGGCATTCATATGCAATCTTTTTAATATGTCGATTTTCCAACATTCTTACGGTTATAGTAATCTCCTCATCACAGACGCACTTTTGTGGGAAAACAAATTCCTGTTGCACTACAATTGATCCAGGGCCGGGAAATTTTGTGCCAATTACTCCACTCACGATTGCATTTAGAAATGCACCATGAACGCAACGTTTTTCTGGTGGACATTCAGTACTGTGAATATAATTCGTATCACCGGATAATTTTGCGAATTGATCGACTTCATCCTGTGTAATAGTTCGTTTCTCAACTATTCGAGGTATTTTGATGCTACACATTGATCTTCGAATTATACTACTGTACATAGGCAATACCGGCTTAAGTCGATGGTTGAGTGTCATTTGTTTCCAACGTAACATCACGAGCGGTCTCTAGAAAAATGATTGCCAAATTTTGTAGTGGAATATTTGATGATTTCTGATACGTTGCGACCTTGCATCGATTTTGTACAGAAAAAATGTTTGAATGTGTTTCGGTTGTATGTAATTGAAGCAGAGTTGCAATCGAATTTTCAACCACTTCACATGAATTGTGAATTAGTAGAGATGAAATGGCTTCGATTCCGTTATCATCAATGATTATTCGTTGTACAATGTGATCCAAGCATATGTTACACAGTGCTGCAACACCATGCGAAACCAAAATTTGATTTGCACTATTAAGAAGTTGTAGGAATAGTTCAACTGCCTTGGATTCCTTTAGGTATTCCCAATTCAGTGGATCGTACGAGAAGTTTGCCAAATTTGCTGTAACTTGTTCTTGTGCCTCTATTAATAATATAAATGGGTTATATCGATGCTCGTAATAGCAAAGCATAAAATGTTGAACTCACCAACGTTTGTCGTTTCGTAATATTCATCGACTAAGAGATTGATGAATTCTTTGCGATCAATTCCTTGCGCCGGTGTTTTTTGTGCCAAACGTTTCTTACTGCTAAACATCACGATTACGTGAATAAAACACTTTGAAAATGATATAATGACATTTCCAAAGCAATTGAGTGCATGGTGTGTGTTAACGAAGCGCCCGATAGGGAAACTCATTATTATGACAGTTCGAAGTGTCATATATGTGTAATCATTTTTTTTATTTGAGCAATTGTCGTTCTAAAGCGAACTGTGTCTTTTTTAGTGTCAACAAATAAGACTTATACGTGTATGCTATACATTGAAAGTGTTTGTTTTTTTCCTTCTTGATGATACACTTAATAGTCGTGGCATAAAAAAAATCAATAAAATTTTAATATATAAGTTGAAGTGAATTTTTAAAAATGGATTCATCTGTAAGTTGAATAAAAAAGTTTTAACGTGTATTTTCAATTTGGATACAAGAGTTTTATTTTCATTTGCAGGTGAATGCGTCATCAGAGAAAAAAGGTGTCTTTGAAAGCCTTGATCGCGAAGATCTCATTCGAAAATGTAAAGGATTGCTTGTAATTGCACAAAAAGCAAAAAAATCCAAAGATGGTTTGTATTCGATATTTTTCTAACTTTTAGCAATACATTCACGTTTCAATTTCGTTCCAGAGTTGGCCAATGAGGTAACAACTTTAAAAGAGAAATTAGCCGAATGTGATACGCAAAAGCAAGCCGATAAAGATTGTTTAAAAACAATGCAGTTGATCGTAGATTCATTGACACAAAATAAATTGGAGGCAGCAAATCAAATTGCCGATTTAGAAAAATCAATAAAAAACTTAAATCATCAATTGAACACATGCAATGATCAACTGACCAAATTATCGGAATTGGAAATTGAGAATGAGGCAAAAGCCAAACAAATCCAACGATTGACTAATGAAAATGAAGAACAAGAAATAGATCTACGTAAATTAGATGAAAAATTTACGAAAGTGTCCGAATTGAGTCAACATCAAACACAAGAACTTTTGGTACTCGAACAATCGATTGATAAATGGAAAACAATGGAAGCCGCCTATCATAAGCTGCAATACGAAAATCGGGAGCTTCAAACAAAATTTGATGCTTTCAACGCTTCCCAAACTGCAGCAAGTTCTACAATCACCAACGAAGAGATTATTAATAATTTGCAAGTGGAACGTGATAATAATCGTCGAATGTATGAAGAGGCTTCAGTTCAATTCTATTTGTTGAATGAAGAGTTGGATAAATTACAACAATCTCGGGCTAAGGACGATGAAAAAATTGATGTGCTTAAAGAACAACTTCATCATGAAAACAAGCAATTGAAGAAAAAATGCGAGGAACAAACCTACAAATTGGACAAATACAAAGGGAAGATTTGTGAATTTTCAAGCAAATTAAAAGAAGTAAAACAATCGAAAAAGCTATTGAGCGACTTGTTGGTTGATTATTCACTTTCTGTAACAAAGTGGCATACACAAATTTCACACGCATCCAAACTTTTGGTGAAAGAAGTGAATTATTTGAATGAGACTAAATTGGAACTAGAAAAACAGATTGAATGCCGTGAATCAACTATAGGTAAACTTAAGGAAACCATTGATGAGTTGGGACAACGTATTGAAAATGTTACTAAAAATAATGACACGGGTGAAATTAGGGAGAAATATGAAATGTTGCTAACCGAATACAAGTCACTTCAAAAATGTATCGAAGATAAGAATTCGGAAATTGTCAATATAACACAAGAATGGGAACAAATGTGTTCTTCATTACAAGAAGAAAGTGTAAAATGTGGATCTGAAATAGAAAAAGTTACTAAAGAATGTCAGAATAAATCGAAACAATTATATGAACTGGAAGAAAAATCAGCTGCAGATAATAAGGAGAATACAGAATTTTCAAACGAAACGAAACACTTAAATGACATGGTGGAAAAACTTAAAATTGAAATCGACTACAAAAACTATGAGATTAATAAATTGACACAAGAATCAGAGCAGATAAATGTCTCATTGAAGGAACAATACGAAAAATTCACAGCTGAAATAAAAGAGCGAAATGACGAGTGTCAGGCAAAAATCCAAACAATATGTGAATTAGAAGAGAAGGAAATGATGAGCAGAAAAATGAATGACGCACTTCTTACTGAAATCAGTCTATTGAATGAAAAACTACAAGATTTGAGCAAAACGATTGGTGAAGTACAATCGGATACGTCAAAAGATGATGAAATCAATGACAATGAAATGAAATATGGGAAGTTACAAGAGGAACACAAATCACTTCAATCACAAATTGTGGAAAAAAATGATGAACTAAATAAATTGGCCCAAGAATTGGAAATCATTCGTGATGATATGAAAAAACTGACTGAAGAAAACCAAGTCAAATGTAAGCAAGTGCTCGTTCTTGAAGAAAAAGAAGTTGTAGCAAATAAGAAACATGAAGAACTCTTGGCTGAAATGCGAGAATTGAACGATGTTATTAAGAAACGTGGCGAAATAATTTCAAATCAAACGACTGAAATTGACCAATACAAAGTAAAACTTAGTGATCAATATAAGCAAATCAATTCATTGGAAGAAAATGTTAAAGATAAAATAAAACAATTGGAACAACTACGCAATCAATTTGATAATCAAAATGAAATTCTATCAACGTCAACAATTTCACGAGCCGACGAAGTATCACGAATGAGAGACATTGAAGACAGTTTCGAAGAGAAGTATAATAAATTGCGTGCGATAGCCTTAAAATTGAAGAAGAAAAATGCCGAACTACAAGCTACTGTAGCAAAACTTGAATTAGTAAAATCTACAGATGCTGAATCAACTATTGTATTCCGTGCAGCTGTTCCCGTTCAAGCACAAAATTTAATTTCTCTGCAAAAGGACAACGATCGATTACTCGACCAAATCGATGCAATGAAATCCGAACAAAAACAACTGAACTCACAAATCAAACAATTGAACGAACAAATTAAAAAAACCGAAGAAGAAGCCAAATCACTTCGAATTGTGAATGAAGATATTAAAGTAACTGCCGAAACCAGTCTTAAAATCAAAAGCGAAATCGAATCTTTGAAAAATGACAACAAAAATATTATACAACAAATGAAAAATGCAGAAAACGAAATTGTTAAATTGAAAGGTACGCACGTACATATATTTTAGAATAAAGTAATTTTATTAAATGTCTTTTTTTTCAGACGTGGTCAAACAGAAGGAGAATGAAATTATACAAAAAGCAGAAGAAGCATCAAAGATCAAATCAGAGATGAATAAGCTAATGACTACAATGAAAAAAAGTAGTGTATTAAATACTTACTTAAAACTTACTATTCCATTACTCTACAATTCCTTTGATTTTTTTTCATTCTTTTTTTCTGATCATCCCTATAGGTAGTGTATTGAATTTGGAGGTTGAAGCTTACGAAAAATCCTTGACGGAGATTTCACAAAAATATGAAACAAATTTGAAGCAATTATCCGAAGCAAAAACGGAAATTGAGACCCATCAAAACTCCATCAAACTGCTTAATATGGACATTCAATCTTTGACTAATCAATTGGAAATTGAAAAGCAAAATTCAAATGGTAAAAATCTCGAAAGATTATTTCAATATGTAAATTCTAAATATGACAATTCAATATATTAGTTAAAAATCTTCTTTTTTTTAGAATACCAGCAACAAACTGAACTGCAACGTATCAAACTCAAGGAGAACAATACCGAAATAAGCGAGTTAAATCGAATTATTGATGAACATGTGAATGCAGCCAATCAAATTAAAATCGAATTAACAAATTTGCAATCTCAACAGTCCGAAAATGAAGTGGAAAAACAGAGATTTATCTCCAAGCAGAAGATAGACAACGAAAACAATGTTACCAAAATTTTATCTCTTGAAGAAGAAGCACGGAATCTACGAAACAAATTGAATAATTGTGAACAAGAATTGTCTAATGTTCAAACAGACTTTGCTAGCTATAAAATAAAAGCGCAAACAGTATTAAAAGCGCAATCAAAAGAATCAAGCAGCGAAGAAGAGCTCAAAGAAGAATTGGCAATTTTGACAAAAACAAAGGATGATCTTAATGCAAAATTGACGAACGCTTGTGAGCAACATCGACGAATGGAAAATACAATCGATGAATTAAAAGATGAAAGGACAAACCTACAGGATCGTTGCAAGAAACTTCTTGAATTGCTTGATGAAACACGCCAACAGATTGAATCGATGCAAAGTGAAAGTCGTAAACAAACAAAAGAACACCATGAAGCGCTTAAAATCCATCGCTTGCAAGTTGATACGTTGAACAATTGTTTTAAAAATCAAATCGAAGAAATGCAGAAGAGACACGAAGAAGAAGTAACCGCGTTAAAATCGTCGACATTGACTGCCAATAAGAGCCAAAAAATCACAGAGGATAGTGGACTTAGTTTTGCTAAATGTGTACAATTGACAACTGAACAACGAATCGAACTGCTTATGAATGAGCGACAGGATGGAGAAGGTTCAGAGTGTACATCAACAAATCAAAGAAAAGTTTCCCGAGGTAAACATTAATCACTTCTGTTATTTCATTAACTATTTCAAATTTTTCTGTTGTGATTCGCAACCCTAGGTAAGCATGAGGTTATGCCGCTTGAAGAACTCTTGGCATCGAATACATATACATATGATGAGGAGTTAGAGACAGCTGAACCAAATGAAGATAACAGATTTGTTTCCAAAGAAAAATTCGAAGCTGAACAGAGCCGGTATGAATAACTATTACCATCGATTTCAAATACAAACTAATTTTCACTAAAATGTTTTTTTTAGGTTGAAACATTTATCAACTTTATTATCGGAAGCCGAGATGGATGTTACTAGATTGTCTGAAATGAATGTTATGCTGAAAGAGGAGTTAAGACGACAAGAACGCTCGACGGAACGCGAGAAAGAAATGAAAAATTTGGAATATATGAAAAATGTTATCTTCAAGGTTAGTTTTATATGGACAGATTTGACATCTATGATGGAAATTACTCGATGTAGCTATGGCATTCGGTTGATATCTGATTTTTTTGTCCAATTTTTAGTTTTTAACCATAAATAATGTGGATGAACGAGCTCACTTGGTGCCAGTATTAAATATTATTCTAAAATTAAGTCCTGATGAAAGCAAAACATTGCAATCTGTAGCAAGGGGAGAGTCCATAAGTTGGAGCAATCTACTGCCAACGTGGTAATGCTTCATCAAAATGAATCAATAATTTTTATTGTTAATGGTATCACCAAAATAAATTATTTTTAAAATAATAAAATAACTCAAAAACTACTTGAAAATTAATCAAACCAAAAATCTATATTATAAAAACGAAATGCCATTCTTTTGTCCTCTCACAATTTTCAACCGATCTGAACCAAACTTTGCACACTTATACTTTGGACTGAGATCACGGTCGATCATGGTCTATGACTTAAAATTGAAATTAATATTGAATGAACAAAATTTTATAAAGTCAAAATCTATAGAGATAGTAATTTCAGAGATAGGAATTACAATAACATGTCTAGCCGAGGGAGCGTGCCTTAGCGAGCGGAGGCCGGATAGTCTTTATATAAACTATAATTTTTTTCAACGTTTTTACAAAATTCAAAATATCCATGCTACACTGTTAAGCACGTATATATAATCAATAATCATGGACAAAATGTTGAGTATATATACACCCGTCAACCAGTCTGTGGATAATATGAATTCAAAATGAATTGCACAAGCCAAAATTGGTGACTCCTTTGATTGTTTTCAAATACACAGACAAAGCCTGCTATGGTTCTGCAGAATAGAATATTGTATGAACAGAGAATAAGTGTATCATTATCGTTCTTTCGGTATTTCACAACACAAATACACAAATGACTACTGCAGCGTTGCACGACCTATCTGTCGATATTTTGGCTTGCGTTCACAACGCGCGCCGAAATACATCTACACGAATAGATGCCATGAAGGGAAAACCGCTACACAAATATGAACTCAGCATTTCAACAATAGGAAGATACTACAAAGAAAAAAGGAGAAGAAAGTCACACGCATGTGCAATACATATTCAAATATTCCAAATCAAGTCGTGTGCATTCGAAAATATCGTTCTTTCGTTTCGGATACGTTTTGCGGGTAAGTACTTTAGAATCGTTTTTGCTCGAATCTTTTTTCTTTTTTTTTTTCAAAATTATTGTCATTTTTCTTAGCTTGATAGCAATCAATTGTAATTAGTCTAAATTCAAGTGTACTACCAAGAAAAAAAATGTGAGACAAAACTTTTTTATATTGATAACGTACTTTCAAAAGAACTATTTATGTCGTAGGAAAAGTTTAGGTTTTTTAAGTCGTTGTTTTCGTCAACACTATCATTTGATTAATAATAATACTGGAGACATTTTTTTGGTACATTTCAATAAAAATTGATGATTTGAAGAGAAAGAAAAACATCTTAAAAGACACCCAGGATGCATTCTAACATTGAATTTTTGTTAGTTACAAAACATAGTTGAAATGTCGTGTGTCCCATTTTATGGGAAACAATTTTTTTTTGTTCTAGCCGGAACCCATTTTGAAATTCCCATTTATTGATTTTGACATAAATTTCAATACTTTTCACATACATCGGATAATCACTCCATAAAGGATTGAAAACTAAAGTAATTAAAAATAAAGAATTAATAGGAATGAATGACGAATGAGAGAGTTTTCTTCAAGATATTTCTTGATATCGTTGCCAAAAATTATTGCCGGCGAGTAGTCGAGAAAATTCCATTTCCTTTTAGCGGTGTGTGTATGTGTGTGTATGTCCCTTTTTATACGTGTGTTTGTATTTCTGAATGCAATTTCGTGTCATGTATTTTTATTGATCGTGTTAGAAACAATACATCACTTCGACGTATTTGTGAACTTTGTAATTTTAATACGAAAATCGTATTGAAAGTAGAAATTCAATCAAATCTTTCAAATTACATTGATGTAAGCAAGCAAGCAAGCAAACAACGAAAAAAAAAGAACCAGCCGAAATTCGATCTCAAAATAACCGTAAAAATGCCGTCAGTTTGCATTTATAAGTGCGCAGTTTGCGATGATGATGATGATGATGATGATGATGAATAGCTATAGACGAATAGACATAGATTTCTTTATGACAATGACTAAAAGGAATGAATATTAACTTATACAAGTAGAATTTAATCAATATTTTTTTCAATCCATCCATTCTATTGAGCATATTTTCTACCTTAATAAATATTTCAAATAACATTTAGAACATTCGTATTAGTCCACGTTGCAAAATCATTACATCAATTTACATAAATTTTTCCATCTAATGAAACTGCAAAATTGGTTTGTCAAACTGCTTTCTGCGAATATTTTGCAAAAATATATGTACGGTGTGTGTCTGTGTATGCAATGAGCATAAAATAAAGCTAGATGTACCGAATGATACGTCGCAGAACGAATGCAATTTTTTTTTGGTTCGGCAAATTATCTTAAAATATCCTCTCCTGTCTCTCTGCTTGTGGGTTAGTTAATTTTGTTGCGTATTCACATGCAACATTTCATGCACTAAGCATTGGCTCAACTATATCATTCGGACAAAGAGAGAATTCTCTGTGTCGTTTTTCTTATTTTAGTTCACAATAAGAATAAAAAAAAGAAAATTTTCTCCGCACATATAAATAGTTTGATACCAAATCTATATGTATTTTTTCTTTTCAATTATGCAAATAGACAAACAACTGTAAGCGGCACATTTTGCGCGTATAAGTTCAATTCATTGCATTAAAAAAATGGGCAAAGAAAAGATACATATTAATATTGTGGTGATTGGCCATGTCGATTCGGGTAAATCTACCACCACTGGTCATTTGATTTATAAATGTGGAGGCATCGATAAGCGGACCATCGAAAAGTTTGAAAAAGAAGCTCAGGAAATGGGTAAAGGTTCCTTCAAATACGCTTGGGTATTGGACAAATTGAAGGCAGAACGTGAGCGTGGTATTACCATTGATATTGCTTTGTGGAAATTCGAAACAGCAAAATACTATGTGACCATCATTGATGCTCCAGGCCATCGTGATTTTATTAAGAACATGATAACTGGCACATCTCAAGCCGATTGCGCTGTCTTAATTGTTGCTGCTGGTACCGGTGAATTTGAAGCTGGTATTTCAAAGAATGGTCAAACTCGCGAGCACGCTTTACTCGCCTTTACTTTGGGTGTAAAACAATTGATTGTTGGCGTTAATAAAATGGATTCAACTGAACCGCCATACAGCGAAACTCGTTACGAGGAAATAAAAAAAGAAGTCTCTTCGTACATTAAGAAAATCGGTTATAATCCGGCTGCCGTGGCCTTTGTTCCAATTTCTGGATGGCACGGTGATAACATGCTTGAACCATCTGACAAAATGCCATGGTTCAAGGGATGGACAATTGAACGTAAGGAAGGAAAAACCGAAGGAAAATGCTTGATCGAAGCCCTTGATGCAATTTTACCACCATCTCGTCCCACTGATAAAGCATTACGTTTGCCATTGCAAGATGTTTATAAGATTGGCGGCATTGGAACCGTACCAGTCGGACGTGTTGAAACTGGAATACTTAAACCTGGTAAATGCTGTATTTATAATTATTTTTGATTAAACTATTAATATGCAGACAATATATTGAACTAACTGGTCAGTTGAGCTGACAGTACGTTAGCTAGCTTGTTTTAATAGAAGTGATTGTTCATTATAACAATAACTTCTATTGTTTTACTCCATTTAGCTGGCTAACGTACTGTCAGCTTAACTGACCAGTTAGTTCAATTGTCTGTTAATATGTTTTACTATTTTTCGTAATGTAGGTATGGTCGTTGTTTTTGCTCCGGCTAATATCACCACTGAAGTAAAGTCTGTTGAAATGCATCACGAAGCATTACCAGAAGCATTGCCAGGTAAGAAAATTCATGTAAAAAATAGGTATTTTATTGCCAATTATTAATTCAAATGTATTTTATTTGTAATGACGATTTATTGGGATACCAGGCGATAACGTTGGTTTTAACGTCAAAAACGTTTCCGTGAAGGAATTGCGTCGTGGATATGTGGCAGGCGATTCAAAGAACTCACCACCAAAGGGAGCACAAGATTTTACAGCACAAGTATGTCTTTCATAAATATTTTCAGATGCACATATGAATGCTCGTATATAGAGTATTATTCATTATGCACACCATTCTCGTGCAGGTCATAGTTTTGAATCATCCAGGTCAAATTGCCAATGGATACACTCCAGTATTGGATTGTCACACCGCTCACATTGCGTGCAAATTTGCTGAGATCAAAGAAAAATGCGACCGTCGTTCGGGCAAAACAACCGAAGAAAATCCCAAGGCAATTAAATCGGGTGATGCCGCCATTATAAATTTAGTTCCAACTAAGCCATTGTGTGTGGAATCGTTCCAAGAATTTCCACCACTTGGCCGTTTTGCTGTGCGTGACATGCGCCAAACCGTTGCAGTCGGGGTACTATTTTACTATTTTACAATTTTACCATTCATATGCACTCAAATACAATAAAAACTTTAGGTGATCAAATCCGTCAACTTCAAAGAAGCGGCAACTGGAAAAGTAACGAAAGCTGCTGAAAAAGCCCAAAAGAAGAAATAACTAGGCCAACGTCAAACTAGTGAATTACAGCAGCAGTATCAACGTTCAATTGATGCATACAACAGCGATAATTCCGATAAAAAACAACTCCTACAATTATTATCCAATCGTCAAACATCAAGTACATTATATAATAACAATTACCAGTGTAACAGCACTACCCACACATGTTTTGATCAAGCCAAATGCACATCCCAGCATCACGACCACATCAAACGACTCATTGTTAAATTGTTAAGCAGTATTTTAGAACGTCATCGTCGAATTTTCCGCAGGAAAGAACAGTCGAACTTAAAATGATGTTTTCATTTACACTGTCGCTGAACGGAAAGCGAAACATTTAATTATTATAGAAATTCATTTAATTTGTTGATTCTTTTATTCTATATAGTCTGTATAGATTCTATTTCATTTTTTGAACCAAATTGAATACATATATTCAAAATAGAAAAACGCTCAAAAAGACAGATCAAAACCATCGATCCAAAAAGACAGATCAATTTTATAACAAAAAAAACAACCACAATTTTCCAAATTACGTTTGAATCTACTCTGATCTTAAGAGAAATACTTACACTAGATTTTATACTTTAAGTTAATTTGTTATTCTGATTTTTTTTCTGCTGAGACAAAACTAAACACAACGTCAAGTGATTCAAATCAAATTTTACGGACGACGTTTTTTGAAATAAATAAAGCATTTACTGGCTTGAGGAAACAAAAGAAATCGTTTAAATTGAATTTATACTTTCAGATCTTTTTCTTACCTTCAAAATAGTTATTATTAACGTAATGTAGCATAGTTACATCTTACCACGCCAGTGACGCCAATAATAGTTGGCCCAATATACCGTATATTTCGTTTGATAAAGTCCATTTGAAATTAAAAAAAAATGGTTCATGAAAAAAGGCCCAATTCTTTTTAGGTTACCGAATATACAGGGTGGCGCATATAATAGGCTCACTCTTAGGGGGTGAGAATTTTGAAAAACCCTTTGGGGGGTATGTTGGGGGTAAAAAATAGAAAATTTCTATCTGAGCAGAATTTTTAATTTTTCCCCAGGGGGGATGGGGGTGTCCCAAATTTT